TAGCTTGTCTGCTACGCTATACTCACGCTGTTCCTGCTGCGTTGAGGTGGTTCAAACCCGACAGCGAATCTAGAGAGCACAGCATGTGCAAGACCTACCTACCAGCCATCATTTTCCCTCCCGACATCCTCTTTTTTCCTCGAGACGTCTCAAGAATCCAGAGAGCGCAGCATGTGCAGCACCTGTTGGTGTAAGGGCCTAATAAACTCAAGCTATTAAGACTTTATCACACATAAAAACCTCTCCTCGGGGTCACCTCCAAGGGTCCTTGGGTGCCTGGTACAAGACCAGCCCCTATCCTCGGGTCTGAGTTTGTAGAGAGAGGGATCAAGAGGGACTTAGTCAAAACAACAAGAGTACCTTGAACGTCGCGCAGCGTATCGTGCAGACCGTAGATCGGATTAAGCTGAGAATTTACTATATCGAAGCTCACTCTAAGAGCTTTAAAATAAGCCAAGTTGCCTCGCGAAAAGTTTTGCCATTACGAAGTTATGGCTCGGACAGCGTTAGCCTAGCGTTGGAGTGCTAGCGTACTAGCGTTGACTCGGGTAGCATTCCGCCGTCGCACCGCGTAGAAACGAGATTCCAGGAAGGGAGGAATTCGCTTGAATCAATTTCACGATATTCAGGTACAAACAGAGAAGGAATAAATAGCTCTAGCTAGCAAGGACCTTGGGAATCAACCTGGGAACAACCAGGGATGATCCCAAATAATTCCAAGCAACAGAACCAACCTGGCTGGACAAAATAGCAGGTGGTAGGTTGGTGAACAACCTCTGGTTCTATTTTTCCAACCTGGGAAAACAACAACCAGGTTCAGGTCCTAAGAACAGAACCTGTTTTGTCTTTGCCCAACCAGCCAAATGTTGGTTCCGCTGGTTTCCCCTGGCCCTGTAGCATGCAGATACAGACAAACAACATCCAACCTTCACCTAAATTGTACCCCTATAGTGCCTGCCCTGCTACACTATAGTTAACCAAACAAAACAGTACAATTTCGAGTTGGATAGAACTGAATCTGCGCAATCAAGTAAGCCGAACCGCAAAGCTTCCATCTTGGGTTCCTTTGCGAGCTCGTCCTTTCTGCTTGTACTGTTCATAGCGCGTACAATGTTATGCCGAAGCGCACATTGTGCGAGTACTTGCAAATGCTTCAAGCAAAAATTGCGAAAGCAAACAAACACACAAACATACCATTCACACGCAAATGCATTCGCACACGCATACTCGTACAAACAGACGGCAGGATGTCGTGCAATGTGAATTTGCACCCAACAGCACCTACCTACCAACCATCTGTTGGGTGCAAATTCACATTGCACGACATCCTGCCGTTTGTTTGTACGAGTATGCATGTGCGAATGCATTTGGGTATGAATGGAATGTTTGTGTGTTTGTTTGATTTCGCATTTTTCGCTTGAAGCATTTGCAGGTACTCACGCATTGTGCGCTTCGGCATAACATTGTATGCGCTATGAACAGTACAAGTAGAAAGAACGAGCTCGCAAAGGAACCCAAGATGGAAGCTTTGCGGTTCGGCTTACTTGATTGCGCAGATTCAAATCTATCCAACTCGAAATTGTACTGTTTTGTATGGTTGACTATAGTGTAGCAGGGCAGGCAATATAGAGGTACAATTTAGGTGAAGGTTGGATGTTGTTTGTCTGTATCTGCATGCTACAGGGCCAGGGGAAACCAGCGGAACCAGCATTTGGCTGGTTGGGCAAAGACAAAACAGGTTCTGGTTTTAGGACCTGAACCTGGTTGTTGTTTTCCCAGGTTGGAAAAACAGAACCAGAGGTTGTTTACCAACCTACCACCTGCTGTTTTGTCCAGCCAGGTTGGTTCTGTTGCTTGGAATTATTTGGGATCATCCTTGGTTGTTCCCAGATTTATTCCCAAGGTCTTTGCTAGCTAGAACTATTTATTCTTTCTCTGTTTGTACATGAATATAGTCAATTTGATTCAAGCGAATTCCTCCCTTCCTGGAATTTCGTTTCTACGCGGTGCGACGGCGGAATGCTACCCGAGTCAACGCTAGTACGCTAGCACTCCAACACTAGGCAAACGCTCTCCGAGCCATAACTTTGTAATGGCAGAACTTTTCGCGAGGCAACTTGGTTCATTTTAAAGCTCTTGGAGCGAGCTTCGATATAGGAAATTCTCAGCTTAATCCGATCGACGGTCTGCACGATACGCTGCGCGACATTCAAGGTACTCTTGCTGTTTTGACTAAGTCCCTCTTGATCCCTCTCTCTACAAACTCGGACCCGAGGATAGGGGCTGGTCTTGTACCAGGCACCCAAGGACCCTTGGAGGTGACCTGGAGGAGAGGTTTTAAGTTTGATAAAGTCTTAATAGCTTGAGTTTATTAGGCCCTTACACCAACACCATCTTTCCTCTCCCGACATCCTCTCCATTTCTCGTTGCAAGAAGCTGTTCGCCACTTTTTCTGCTCCTTTTTCCCAACCCTTTTTCTTTCCCCCCCATCGCTCTTCATGTCCCCAACCCTGTTGTTCCATCCGCTTTGCCCTCCCCCAACACAGCCCAGCACGCGTGCATAGACAACAGAGTCGGTGACGAGTTTGGAGCACAGCGTGTATGACAACTCAGGTGCGGAAAGTGATGACGTGCCACGCGTGGAAGATGTAGTTGTTAATGTTAGCCCCCAATCTCACATTTGTACTGTACTTTTTATATCATAGTCTAGTGTAGGTTGCACTTTGTGTTTGGTTAGGTGTTCACCCACATCCCACCAAACCCAAATGTAATCTCTAAGCAATCTCCAACCCACCAATTGGAGATTGCCTTGGGATTACCCCAAATTCCCTAGGATTGCCCCTTATTTCCTCTCCACCCTTACGTTGCCCATTTCCAATGTACTTAAAGAGCCTTGGGCTCATTACTAATGCATGGATTTTAAGCTCAAGTTCTAACACGGTACCAGAGCTAGTCAACCACACACGTGTATCGTGATCCTCTTATCTCAACGGGCTCTTGTCCCGCTTTCTTCGACGTAGCCGCCCTCAATCATGTCGCCGGTGATTCGCGACTTCCTTGGCCGAAAATTATTCCTTGCCACTCTCCCTTTCTTCTCGACAACTTTCGCAACTTCTCTAGTAAGCGCATCGTCGACGCTTTAACCAATCGCATTTTCTCATCAATTGTTTTCGCTCCACTTCTTCTCGTCGGGCCGCCGCCCGTTGCCCTGCATCTTCTCGTCGGGCTGCCGCCCGTCGCCCCGCAACGACACTCCACAGCTGAGCAGGTGCAGCCGCGCAGCTGAGCAGCCGTGTAGTAGCGAAGCTGGGGAGCAGCATAGCCGCGAAGCTGAGGGTGGAGTGTTGGAATAGGGTTAGCTATCGAAATTTTTTCTACGAGACATTCCTGAGCGGCCGACATTGAAGCTCTTTGCCCTTCGCATCCCTTGGTTTTTCTCCTTCAGAAACCATAAACCTCACAATTCTCTTTCGTAAACCCTAAACCCCAAGCTCTTTAAATTCTCCTTCGGAAACCCGAAACCTCAAATTCCTATCTGTGACTTATGAGCAGTGCTTCACGCGAGACCTAAAGGGTTTTTTGCCATGGCTGTTGCCTCGGCCACTCTCGCCAACCCCATCACCCCGCTCCGCCTTGAAGCCAACGGCACTAGCTCCAACTTCAAGGCATGGAGCTACGGGGTTGACAATCTCCTCCTGAGTCGTGAAGTGGGTGGACTTGACCTCAAAGACGTTCTTCTCAATCATGGCAAGAGAAAACAGCCCCCCATCCCCAAGGAGCGATCCGATCGAGCCGATGCTGTGGCAACCCAGGAGTACGAAGACTCTGTTGCCTAATACCGCAAATGGGAGAAGGCCGATTTGGCTATCATTAGCATCTTCATCGGCTCCACTCCTCCCGAACTTGTCAACACATTCCACAACCACCCCACTTCCAACGCCATTTGGAAGCATCTCTAGGACAGGTTCATGAACAAGACGGCGGTCGGGGTGGCCATCCTAATTTCTAGTATGTTTCAAGTTCGCCTTGAGGATTACCCGAGTATGGCCGACTACATCGCCAAGGTGCAAACCATCGACGGCGAGCTCGAGAAGCTAGGTATCATCTTCCCCGAACAAGCTCCTGTGGCTGCCCTTCTTATTGGCCTCACCTCGGCATACGAAGAAACAAGGAAAATGCTTTTCACGTCCTCAGCGGAAGACCTCACATTTGCTAAGGTAACCTCCGCCCTCCTCTCCGCCGAGAAAGACTCCTCGGCCCAAGCCAAGGCCTACGCCCTCCGTGCTCCCGCGCCTCAAGCAAGTGTCGCCTCGGCGCCCTTTCAGCGCAACCGCTTCCCTCCATTCACTTACATCGTCAAGTACGGCAACCGCAAGGGACAAGTGTGTGGTGGCACTAACCACCCTCTCGCCACGTGCTTCAAGAAGAAAGACGACGAATGGTATGTCATCCATGGAGTTGACAAGAAGTCGCCGAACTGGATGCGACCTCATAAGGCCAACGTAGTTGAGGCACAGGACCCCGCTCAGGCTAGTGCTAGTGATAGTGCTCCTACTAATGTGCGCGTCAACTTGTTGTTCCCTGGCATTGCCATGATTAATGAAGCAACTTCGCAGTACATTGGCTCATCACAAGCACCACAATACAATGAATTCACACAGGACAGCGGGGCCATTCACACAGTGCTCAAGGAGACACTCTCCTTCAAACCCCACGCAACACCTATTCCTCTCCTTGGAGCTGATTCAAGCTCCACCACTCTTGCCAAGGGTTCGTCCACACTCCCGTGCCCCGCCTTCCCATCCGGCACTCTCACTGTGCCTTCACTACGCCACAATATCATGGCTCAGAAAGTGATTGAGGAGGCGGGGTCACGCACCATCTTCTCGGAGAATGAGACATCATCGACCCACTCATCAAAAAGGTCTTGGCTCGCTTCACCCTCAATAGCAGCGGCCTGCGGGTACCTATCCCACAGGTGTCAACCACCCTGCTTCCCCATGTCCAATTCCTTTCTTCCCCCCATCCCCTTCCCTGCTTCTCCCCATCCCCTTCCCTTCTTCCCCCCATCCCCTTCCCTGCTTCCCCAAGTTCCCTTCCCTACTTCCCCCCATCCCCTTCCCTTCTTCCCCCTATACCTTTACTTGCTTCCCCCCATCTCCTTCCCTGCTTCCTCCCATCCCTTCCCTTCTTCCCCCCATCCCATTACCTGCTTCCCCCCATCCCCTTCCCTGCTTCCCCCCCTCCCCTTCCCTGATTCCCCCCATCCCCTTCTTTGCTTCCCACCATCCCCTTCCCTGCTTCCCCGTGTCCCCTTCCCTGCTTCCCCCCATCCCCTTCCCTGCTTCCTCATGTCCCCTTCCCTGCTTCCCCCCTTCCCCTTCCCTACGTCCCAACATCCCTTTCCCTGCTTCCCCCCATCCCCTTCCCTGCTTCCCCCCATCCCTTTCCCTGCTTTCTGTTGGGTGCATATTCACATTGCACGACATCCTGCCGTTTGTTTGTACGAGTATGCGTGTGCGAATGCATTTGCGTGTGACTGGTATGTTCGTGTGTTTGTTTGCTTTCGCAATTTTCGCTTGAAGCATTTGCAGGTACTCGCACAATGTGCGCTTCGGCATAACATTGTACGCGCTATGAACAGTACAAGCAGAAAGGACGAGCTCGCAAAGGAACCTAAGATGGAAGCTTTGTGGTTCGGCTTATTTGATTGCGCAGATTCAGTTCTATCCAACTCGAAATTGTACTGTTTTGTTTGGTTGACTATAGTGTAGCAGGGCAGGCACTATAGGGGTACAATTTAGGTGAAGGTTGGATGTTGTTTGTCTGTATCTGCATGCTACAGGGCCAGGGGAAACCAGCGGAACCAGCATTTGGCTGGTTGGGCAAAGACAAAACAGGTTCTGTTTTTAGGACCTGAACCTGGTTGTTGTTTTCCTAGGTTGGAAAAACAGAACCAGAGGTTGTTCACCAACCTACCACCTGCTATTTTGTCCAGCCAGGTTGGTTCTGTTGCTTGGAATTATTTGGGATCATCCCTGGTTGTTCCCAGATTGATTCCCAAGGTCCTTGCTAGCTAGAGCTATTTATTCCTTCTCTGTTTGTACCTGAATATAGTGAAATTGATTCAAGCGAATTCCTTCCTTGCTGGAATTTCCTTTCTACGCGGTGCGACGGCGGAATGCTACCCGAGTCAACGCTAGTACGCTAGCACTCCAACGCTAGGCTAACGCTGTCCGAGCCATAACTTCGTAATGGCAGAACTTTTTGTTGGTGTAAGGGCCTAATAAACTCAAGCTATTAAGACTTTATCACACTTAGAACCTCTCCTCGGGGTCACCTCCAAGGGTCCTTGGGTGCCTGGTACAAGACCAGCCCCTATCCTCGGGTCCGAGTTTGTAGAGAGAGGGATCAAGAGGGACTTAGTCAAAACAGCAAGAGTACCTTGAACGTCGCGCAGCGTATCGTGCAGACCGTCGATCGGATTAAGCTGAGAATTTACTATATCGAAGCTCTCTCTAAGAGCTTTAAAATAAGCCAAGTTGCCTCGCGAAAAGTTATGCCATTACGAAGTTATGGCTCGGACAGCGTTTGCCTAGCGTTCGAGTGCTAGCGTACTTGCGTTTGACTCGGGTAGCATTCCGCCGTCGCACCGCGTAGAAAGGAAATTCCAGCAAGGAAGGAATTCGCTTGAATCAATTTCACTATATTCAGGTACAAACAGAGAAGGAATAAATAGCTCTAGCTAGCAAGGACCTTGGGAATCAACCTGGGAACAACCAGGGATGATCCCAAATAATTCCAAGCAACAGAACCAACCTGGCTGGACAAAATAGCAGGTGGTAGGTTGGTGAACAACCTCTGGTTCTATTTTTCCAACCTGGGAAAACAACAACCAGGTTCAGGTCCTAAAAACAGAACCTGTTTTGTCTTTGCCCAACCAGCCAAATGCTGGTTCCGCTGGTTTCCCCTGGCCCTGTAGCATGCAGATACAGACAAACAACATCCAACCTTCACCTAAATTGTACCCCTATAGTGCCTGCCCTGCTACACTATAGTCAACCAAACAAAACAGTACAATTTCGAGTTGGATAGAACTGAATCTGCGCAATCAAGTAAGCCGAACCGCAAAGCTTCCATCTTGGGTTCCTTTGCGAGCTCGTCCTTTCTGCTTGTACTGTTCATAGCGCGTACAATGTTATGCCGAAGCGCATATTGTGCGAGTACCTGCAAATGCTTCAAGCGAAAATTGCGAAAGCAAACAAACACACGAACATACCATTCACACGCAAATGCATTCGCACACGCATACTCGTACAATCAGACGGCTGGATGTCGTGCAATGTGAATTTGCACCCAACACTTTTCGCGAGGCAACTTGGCTTATTTTAAAGCTCTTAGAGTGAGCTTCGATATAGGAACTTCTCAGCTTAATCCGATCGACGGTCTGCACGATACGCTGCGCGACGTTCAAGGTACACTTGCTGTTTTGACTAAGTCCCTCTTGATCCCTCTCTCTACAAACTCGGACCCGAGGATAGGGGCTGGTCTTGTACCAGGCACCCAAGGACCCTTGGTGGTGACCCCGAGGAGAGGCTTTAAGTTTGATAAAGTCTTAATAGCTTGAGTTTATTAGGCCTTTACACCAACACTTTCCCCCATCCCCTTCCCTTCTTTCCCATGTCCCTCTCTCTGCTTCCCCCATGTCGTTCCGTTCTTTCCCCCATCCCTTTACCTGCTTCCCCGTGTCCCCTTCCCTGCTTCCCCGTGTCCCCTTCCCTGCTTCCCCGTGTCCCCTTCCCTGCTTCCCCCCATCCGATTCCCTTCTTTCCCATGTCCCTTTCCCTGCTTCCCCCCATCCCCTTCCCTGCTTTCCCATGTCCCTTTCCTTGCTTCCCCCCATCCCCTTCCCTGCTTCCCCCCATCCCGTTCCCTTCTTCCCACCATCCATGTACCTGCTTCCCCCCATCTCCTTCCCTGCTTCCTCCCATCCCCTTCCCTGCTTCTCCCCATCCCTTCCCTTGCTTCCCCCGATTCCCTTCCGTGCTTCCCCATGTCCCTTTCCCTGCTTCCCCCCATCCCCTTCCCTGCGTCCCCTCATCCCTTTCCTTGCTTCCCCCAATCCCCTTCCCTGCTTCCCCCCATCCCCTTCTGTGCTTCCCCCTATCCCCCTTGCTTGCCCCCATCCCCTTCCCTGCTTCCCCTCATCCCCTTCCCTTCTTGCCCCCATCCCTTTACTTGCTTTCTGGTGTCCCCTTCGCTGCTTCCCCATGTCCCCTTCCCTGCTTTCCCATGTCCCCTTCCCTGCTTCCCCGTGTCCCCTTCCCTGCTTCCCCGTGTCCCCTTCCACAGCACTCACACGCACCACTTGTGTGCTCTTCATATTCTCCCTCAGATTCCTCCTCACATGTCTTGTGGAACCCTGGTCACCACTTTGCCTGTCTACATGCCTGCCGGCGTTTGATCAGTGTGCGTGTCTTTCTGCCTACATGCATGCCTGCGTGTGTGCATGTTTGTGTGCATGCATGCGTTAGTAGTATTTGTATGTGTGTGCATGTGCACGTCCACCCAAGACCTGATGCCATTCATCGACCGTGACCCTGTGGGAGGCGCACCCGGTGCTGGTGGGGAGGTGTGGCCGCCCAAGAAGCTCCATGACGTGCCCACAGAGAAAAAGTGGGAGCGGGGGTGGGGGCAGTGGGGAGCTGCGAGGAGGACGAGGAAGAGCAGCCACGCCTAGCGCTGGCGGCTTCCATGGAGGGGCATACAGAGGAAGAGGGGGCCGAGGCGGGAAGGTGGGCAAGGTGGGGAGCAAGGTGGGGACATGGGCCCATGCAGGGTAGCAGGGACGATGCCTCTCGTGCGGCAGAGGGTCAGGAGCAACAAGGGGCGTGGGTAGGAGGGGCAGCGGACGAGGAGGTTGAGTTACCAAAGGAGCGCGTAGTGCGCATTCCAGCCTGCCGTCGCATTGCCATTCGTTGCCCGGATGGCACTCGGCTGGAGTGTCGTTTCCGGGCCCAGGCACTCTCTACATGTGCTGTTCCAATCCTTCAAAACAGCCTGCTTGCCACCCATCCCACGCCTCTGCATAGTCCTTCCTGCCATGCTCATTCCCTTGCTCTCCCACTCACTCCCTTGTTCTCCCACGCCCCACTCCCGAGTCCCCCAGATGCTGGGAAGCAGATCTACGACTGGACCCGTCCCGAGGTGAACCCCTCGGCGCACCCCTCGGCGCACCGCCACGCCGGTCACGGAGCATCAGCAGCCCATGGCACACTTCGGCGGGTTATGCGAGATAAGGCGCGCAGCTGGCAGAGCTGCAAGGCAGCCTTCTCTCAAGACTGCCTTCAACCTCCCCTGCTGCCCTAGACCTGCGCCCGATAAGGCCTGCATTTGATGTTGCCGCCCTCCCTGCGTGTAAGGAGGGATTGGCAGCTGCAACGCGTGACAGGCAACACTGTGCAGGCAACTGTGTTGATTCTGGATCATGGGGCAAAGACATTTGAATTAAGTAGAGTTGTGTGGTGTGATCAGTGCGGAGCGGCGTGGGAGGAAGGCACAAGAAGGCAAGCACAGAGTGAAGAGGCCGCGGCATGATATGGAGATTGGCAGCAGGGATCGACTTGTGGGTCGTGCTTTGTTTGGTGCCAATGGTTTATAGGCTGAATTGGGTTTACCTGTTGACCATACTGTATACAAGAGCTGTACTGTATGTGCCCTATCTCAATCTTGACCCTAAGACGGTCGAGTTGAATATGTCCATGTAAGCCCAGCAGAGAGGAGTGGCGGGGAGTGGCGGCGTCGAGCAAATGAAAGGAGGGGTAGAGTGGAAATTTCGAGGGGCTCTCATTACTGATCCTTTGCAATGGCTGATTTGCAAAGGGGAGAAGGGGGGGATGGGGGGGGTCGTGGGGTGAATGGGGTGGGGGGCAGAGGAGAAGAAGATGGTAAAGGGAGCTCAGAACAGGGAGGAGGGGCAGCAGGTTAACAAGCTGGCTCTCATTGCTTATTGCGTACAATTGTTGTTAGAACGTGGGGGAGTGGGGAGTGGTGGGGAAGGGGGGAAAAGAAGAGAGAGGGGAGGTGGGAAAGAGGCAAGGTGATTGTCTTTGGGATGGCTTCTAATAAGGGTATAGGAGATGGCATGGGATATCATGCACTAGTGCAGATGCCAAATGCACCAAAGGTCAACTGCACTGCACCAGGTTTCATTTGCCACTAGGCAGCAAACGTCCCGGGGGGCCGAGGCTTCCACCAGGGAAGGCCGCCCTGCCACCTCCATGTCCCTCTGGAAGTACTGCAGCAGCGGCACTTCTTGCACTTGCGAGAACAATTGTAGGCGCTGACATGGGATGTATCGCAGGCATGGGGGATGGGGAGGCGAAACATCACAAGGTATTTGGTCAAGAGGAAGGGCTTGAGGGAGACAAGGAGGAGTGGAGAGGAGAGGGGGGGATAGATTTGAAGGCCCACTAGTGGTGTTTGAGGATAAAAAATAACAATAGTAGGGTTCATTATTACCATGGGTGAGCACGTTGGCGTCGTTGATACCGGAAGCGATGCGGCGTGGCGGCCAAAATGATATTGTTGGACCTTTCTGAACCCCATAGGTGTGTTGTGGATGTTTACCGAGGATAGTTGGTGACATCACCTGTAACATTAGCACAAACAAAAAGTGTCGGTCAAGTTGATGAGATAGGGCGTGATAAATTGCAAATGTGCAACTACTCTCACTTAGAAATCTGCGCACAGCCCCATGCGTCGATGACCGGCCGCGACCCCTCTGGCTACGTCGCACAGGTGTAGCGAGCTGCTGTACATATGGGTGACCCCCTCCATCAGATATGTTAGCGGACTACTTTTCCGCTCCTTGGCTTGTTATTGCATCTTCATTAATATCGTCATCAACACTATCCCCTAACGATCGTTGCTACTCCGACATGATCTGATCAACCCACGACCAATCCATCGGTCCTAGTGTTCGATCCTTGTTGCCCCGACGCACCCGCGTCACTTGCCGTACCCGTGTTTGATACAAAGTGACAAATCTATCCATTGAGTTCTTCCAGTGCAAGACAGCAAGAGCCACCCGTGGCACGAGACTATCCTGGAACCGAATACGCTTAGGGGTGTAACTGAGGATCAGAGAATAACATGACTCATTGACAGAGCTGTTGGTCAACATCCCAGGACACCACCAGGCTTTCCACACCCGGAATGGTCACCCGCCCAATGGTTTGGCGCCGTCCCAATCTCCTTTGCCACATCATCAGGGGTCATAGGGGTGCCCGCTTCCTTCATCCGTCACATGGAAAAAATGCGAGCTGAAGTGCTGCGCCACTGTACTCTCTTCATCGCCAGCGTGTACCTCATCTCCACCCCGTTTTCGTTTCCTGCGCCCAACCCACCGAGGCAAAGTCTGTCCAATTCTGCTTCCTGCTGCATCACCATCGTGAACTGCACCCTCGTTGTTACTTGCAGGGTTAGACAATGTTGGGTCCGCACCACCCATGCCATCATCTCCTGGTGAACGACAATATTGGAGGGAAACATGACAAAGTAACCAATCCACATGAGCAGTTATAATTTCTCTTATGTGAGCATTTTTACCCGTCAATTCGTCAGCACTGGCCCACGCAGTCGTCCCAACGATTGACCGTGAAACATCGCCTACACTTGCATGTGCATGCATGATGAATGCACTTGCCACAGACCATGGTCGCGCGCCGTGCACTGGATGCAAATCATAACTCCAAAGCTCCACATCTGGCCACTGCACGTCAACTTGTGCATTGCCCAATTTCTCCTTGTCAACCACTTCATCAATTGCAGTGGTCCGCCTATCTCCTGTTGGGCCAGTTCGCACCTCCACATAAGCCACAAGGACATCTACAACCCCCTGTTCCCCCCCTACTCGTCGCACCCTTCTCAGCTCTAGAAACTTCCACTTTGCTTCATCAGATATTATCTGGACGTAGGCAGTGGTGCCCATGGCTCTACAGACTGATTGCACAAGAGCCGATTTGAGTGATGCCTTTGCCTCTTTCTCCAAACCCCGTTTTCGCAATCATTGCCGCAACCCTTCCACCGTAGCCAACCACAGCTCCTCAATACAACTTGCCTTGTCCACGACTACCGGCAACCGCACTGCATCCTGAAGCTCTTTGCAGAAAAGCTTGTACAGTGTTTTTTTCATGTCCCACCAATCCACCTAATGGTTCAGTTTCCGCTATGTGGCAGCACCTCTGAATGTCGTCCCTTAGTCTGAAATGATTCCTTCCACATCAAATCTCAACAGCGCTAGCTCATCAACTCCTTTGTCGAACGCAACCCGCTCCAATCGCACAGATGACGTATTATCAACCCCTTTTCTTGTTGTACACAGTACAATATCTTCCGCGTAACAGCATCCATGAATGACACCAAGGTCAAGCGTCTCTATTCGGATGGTGGTGGTGAATTTTGCAACGACAAGCTCAAAGCCTTCTACTCCTCCCTTGGCATCCTACAAAACTTCACCCTTCTTAATAGCCCGCAGCGGAACGGCATAGCAGAGAGCCGCACTCACACACTGACGCAAATCACTCGCTGCCTCCTCAGCCACTCCAACGCACCACTCTCACTTTGGGGGTACGCCCTCTATGATGCCGCCCTCCTCTACAACCTCTATACCCATCCGCATCTCCCCGACACCACTCCCACCACACTCTGGCTCGAGAAAACACCCACTACTCGCCCTCTCCACGTCTGGGGGTGCACCGCCGTTGTACTCCTCAAACCCCAGGCTCGACGGCAGCAAGGTGGCAAGCTTGGTCCCAAAACTCAAACGTGCATATACCTTGGGCATAATGCTGACTCCTCTGACTACCTTTTCCTCAACCCCTCCACTCAACAACTCGTCCGTAGCAGAGATGTCGTCTTTGATGAGACTCGCCCCTTCTACTCCACCTCGGGGGGGGGATCCCCCCTCCGGTGCACCAGCCCCCTCACCTCCTGCTTCTCCTGCCATCGCACCATCCCCGTCTGAGGTCTTTGACCCGACCTCTCCGGTATCCTTGGTAGCTGCTCCTTCATCTCCCCCTTCTGCCACTCTGCCAACCGCGCCCCGATCACCAAGCGCACCAATCACATACCATCGGCGGTCGAACCCTCCCGCCCCACCTCCTCCCCCGGTTCCCTCCTCCACTCAGGAACCTACTCTCCCACAGCTGAGCAAACTAATCATGTACCAACGACTACCGGTCCCTCCCCCCAAGCCTTCAAAGCTGTCCCCTCCAGGAAAGCCTGCTCCACCCTCTTCTTCGGTGGCTCATGGCACTCGGTCGCATGGGGCTGCTCCTCCACTGGCACTTGTCATTCGATGCTCAGTGACTACTCCAACTCCTCCAGCTGGGGGGGGGGGGGGTGTGCTTTCTACCGTTGTGGAGGACAGGCATGAGGAGCTGTGTGAGCTTTCGCACATCTTCCCCGATATCACTAAATCCCCCTCGCTCAACTTCTTGGAGATCCCGATCATTCCTATCCCTCTCACCGTCCAAGAAGCTCTTTCGGGTCCCCATGCTGCCGAGTGGCGCGCTGCCATGGAAGCTGAGTGTGAAACCTTCACCCGCAACCACTCCTTTGATGACGAAACTCCCACCTCCAGGAGTTAACATCGTTGGGGGCAAGTGGCTGTTTCGAGTGAAGCAGCTTCCGGACGAGGCACCAGTGTTCAATGCACGCTATGTGGCTAAGGGATTCACTCAACAGCAGTACTTTGACTCCTTCAAAACCTTCTCTCCCACATCCAAACCACCCACTGTTCGAACGCTCTTGGATGTAGCCGCACGAGACAACTTTGAGATCAAATCCATGGACGCCTCTTCAGCATTCTTGCAAGGACACCTCAAGGAGACTGTGTTTATGGACCGACCTGAAGGCCTTCCAGGAGAGTTCCCTCCCAACACTATCTGGAAGCTGAATCGCCCTGTTTATGGCCTCAAACAAGCTCCTCGTGAATGGCACAACAAAGTGAAAGAAGTCCTGCTCTCCATTGGACAGGTTGGACCAACTGGCCTGTTGGTCCAATGGACCGGTTCGACCAATTGGCCTTTTGGTCAATGGAACCGCATGGACCAACTCGCCTATTGGTCAATTGATCGGTTGGACCAACTGGCCTTTTGGTAAATGGGACCGGTTGGACCAACAAGCCTTTTGGTCCATTGGACCGGTTGGACCAACTGGCCTGTTGGTAAATTGGACTCGTTGGACCAACTGGCTTGTTGGTCAATTGGACCAGATGGACCAACCTACCTGTTGGTCAATAGGACCGGTTGGACCAACTCGCCAATTGGTCCATTTGACCGGTTAGACAAACAGGCCTGTTGGTC